GCCTCTCAGATAACCTCAGGTAGACGGGAGGAAAACTCAGCATTTCTATCATTTCAGGATGCGTTTATAGTTTTTGGGGTGAGTTGGCACCACTAGAGGGCGCCGTTCTGACTCCCAGATACAGCCGGGAACAGCCGTTTATTTTCTCATCTTGACGTTTTTGTTGCTGTTTGGAGACGAAAACGACTAAATCGGATCCGCTCGGTGTTTAGAGGATCAGATTTCAGGATTTATTTGATGAATCCCAGCAGAGGAAAGCTTTGAGCTGCGTCTTTAAAAGCCTGGAAACATTGAGTTTAATCCAGAGATTTTCCAGTTTGGAAAAGGAAACAGATTATTGAAAAGTTTTTATATTTTCAAATCATTTTCATGTAAAATAGTTTGTTTCTCCATCCATCCAGCAGCAGGAACTTTATTGTGAAGTTTTTGTATTTATAGCTAAATGATGAGCTTTGCTAACAGTTGGAGGTAACATGGAGGAACCCTGGTTTAGTTTGTGAGCCGAATCTTTCCCTCTCTCTCTGCTCCTCTAACATAATATCTAGTAAAAAATCCACCTTAAAACCAGTTTCCTGCAGGGAACCCAGTTTGTTCTAAAGATTCTGACTGGTATGGTTCTGGTACTGGACATTTCCTCTGTATGCTTCTCAGTGGAATACGTCAGCGGTTTGGATTGACGGCTGGCCCAGCGCCCCCTGCTGGGCTCTTCAGTCGCTGTTGAGCAGCGATTATTGTTTTTATTCATGGAAAGTTTCCACCAAGCTGCTCAAATATCTTTGTTTGGTTCTGCTTTTACTTTCTGAACCTCCTTCTGCAGAAAACCCACAGATTTCATACATAACATGTAAAGAAGTGTCCAATCTTCTGTTAAAATATCCAACATCGGCCCAGTTTTACATCTGCTCCCCATGTCTAGAAAAATGGCCTCCACCTGCCGACGTTAATGCAGACACATTTCCCATCACCTGTTTGCAGAACATGATTAGTATCAGTCAGGAGCAGGATGCAGTAAAATGCTTCAGACATTTCAAAACAAAGAAATTTGAAGAACGTGCAAAACATTTCTCAGGACACGATATGTCTGCGTTTGTACCGAGTGATGTTTGTCATTTTTTAAAATAGTGGTGGGGAAAGACATATAATATCTTCAATTATTGATTATTATTAGTATCAAATATTGTACTGGCCCAGATTTTAGTATCGGTTCATTCTTAAAATGTTCATTTCGAGTTGGATGAAGTTCTGAGCCGTTGTAGATGGAAACCGATCCGACACCTTCAGGTTTCCCCCAGGAAACTGAAAATATGAGTTCATGTTTCAAATGTTTCAGCCGCAGAGTCCAAACAAACAGATCAACGCTTTACCAGAGGAAAATGGACTGAACCTGAAATCAAACCCATGTGGACATGTAGAAACTGAAAACCGTGATCTGGCTGAATGACGGTGGAAAAGGTCTTTAACCCAACCGGCCTCTCCACCCAGCTCCGATTCAGCATCGTGTTTCCACTGGTCTCATGTGGTTCTGATGGTTTTGGATCAGTTCGTGTTTCGCTGCCTCTCTGCAGACAAACTTCTCCTGTTTTATAGTCGGTTTCTCCATCAGAGCGTCTGGAACTGAACCAGCCGCTCCGATGGAACAGGACCGAAGATCAGCAACATGATTTTAGTTTCTCCTGTTTGTTTCGCTAAAACATCCAGAAAGCTGCAGCTGAAGTTCTGATCCGCTCCAGTTTAGCTTTAGATTAGCAATGTTTGACATTAATACGTACAAGTCGTGGAAAAAGACACGTTTAAAGTATTGGCATCAAAACTCTTAGTCTACTGGAGGATGTTTCTTCTAGTGATGAGGCCTCACGTTTCCCAAACTGTGTTGCTTTGCCACTTAGTGACCTCTGCTGGGTTTAGAAAGTCATTGCAGGCAAATTCGATAAAGACGGGAGAGTTAACCGGTTCATCACGATGACGCCTCAGCATCATGGAAGAGATCCGGTTACAGTAAGACAAAACCTGAAAATCCAACGTTTTTCACCTACGATGCAATAAAAGTTCATCTATGTAAACTAACTCAAATATCCTATGGGAAGGAATTTGAATAATCTGAAAGAAAAAAATGACTTTGGAATAATAAACACTTTTTGTGAAGAGATCAAAATGATCCCACATGGAGAAAACTTCCTCTTCCTCTGTGGATCCATGCCGGTGAGTCATATATGAGCCGAAAACCAAAGAACACAAAGTATTTCCATCCAACAAAACCCAAAACGTGTCGCCACAGTTTCTCCCTCATCAACACAGTTTGGAACGTTCACATCCAAACGACAGGAACTGCATCGGTCACATGGTTTTCCTTAAAGGAACACGCACACCGACACGGGGGTTCGTCCTGTTTGCTTGGCTCATGTGCCGAGGTTCCTGTGTCATCTGGCCCATCACTAGTTTCCTCCAATAAATACATTTCGCAGCAATATTACTTATTAGTCAATAGATGTAAACAAGCAACAGTTTTTTTGTTGTTTTGGTTTGTTTTTGCAGCATCGTGTGACATTGTCTCACTCTTAGTTTGAGAATCTGCCTGATTTTTAGCTCTGCATCATCAAAAGTCCTTTTTCTTCTTCCTGGTTTCGTGTCGGTTCCTCAGAGCCAGAGAGGCGCTGCGTCAGTGTCTGCCGGACCAGCTGAAGGACAGCACCTTCGCCCAGGTTCTGAAGGACGACACCACCACCAAGCGCTGGCTCGCTCAGCTCGTCAAGAACCTGCAGGAGGGCCAGGTGACGGACGCCCGCGGCATCCCGCTCGCCCCGCAGTGACGCCCCGGCCGGCCGGCCGGCCTCCAGCAGCCACCAACCCTGGTGCTAGGACTGTCCTCAGAGCCGCACACGGCGGACCGACCATGGACAGACAGAGGGTTTTTTTGGATTGCGAACTCTTGAATTTCAGAAACGGTAGATTTTCAAAGAATACATCTTTTACTGAGACGATATTTTTTCTGAACTGTTTGGCAGTAGTGTTTAGGTGAGACATTTCACAGATTAAATGAACAAACAGGAACTACATCAGGTGAAGCGTTGCAAAAACTGAGAGAATGTGATGATCAACCAGAGGTTTGTGATGACATCACTTCCCTCTGATGGTCTTCTGAGTTGCTGCTGACGTTCCCGTTTGCTGCTGATACTTCCCTTAGCAACCCGTCGTCTCCAGCAACACGCTCATGCAACTTCTGATGGGTGAATTGTGTTCTGTTTCGTAGGCAGCAGTTTCTGTCATGCAGCGTCCTTCTGGACAGGTTGGCTGTTTGTACAGAGATGATTTCCTGGCCTCTGAGTGTTTCTAAATAAACATTTTTCAACATATTCAGGAAATTATGACTTCATCTGTTAATGAAGTTAGTCAGATGCCAGGAGGGGAAATGTTGACGCACTCCTCTCATACTAAGGATATCATGAGAAATCCTTTGGTACCATCTAGTGGTCGGAGTGTGAACTGCGCATGGTTCATGTCTCCACTACATTCAATTTCGCCAATAAAGTCCGTAAATCTTAAGCTTGAGCTACGTTGTGCAATAAAAATATACTGAGACTTACTAATGTCATCTGCATATATTAGAATAGAAATGTAACCAAAATTATTCAAATTTTAGGTGTGAAGCTATTTAGCGACTTCAGGCAACTAAGGAATGGAAATGATTAACAAGCAATAAGTGTAGGTATAACTGTAGAATAATAAATTATGTGAATGTATGTTGATTATGCATCTTAGCCTTAATAAAAGAAAAATATAAATATATTGTAAGTACATATTCCAATAAAATGTTTTTATAGTCAGTGAAAGATGTCTAGTAAGTTATACAGTAAAATTATTTTTTTATATATTTATTTAAAAGACTAAATAAAAACCAGTATTTGCTCAAAAATACGTGTTGAAATTTGATTTGTAAAACTGATTTCATGTTGCAAAAAAAGAGCTAGGAGCTCAAAAGACAATAAAACAGCATAATGATAGTTATTTAAAATCATTTTGTTTCTATTCTAAAGTCTGAATAAATACTGAAATTGAACAGCATTTTACTCCTTAAGTGCCTGGTGTTGCTAATTAGCATCGCAGCAAAATTCTCATTAATGTTGTTGCAATGTTCAAATTTTTAATCTTTACGTAAACGGCAAGAAAACTAGACCTGAACGTTTATTTCTGTTACTTTTAGTGTCATTCGTTTATGCAAATTTAATCCAGTGGCTTGAAAAATCAAAACAAAAAACAGGTCAACTCTAAATGTGCCATCAGGTTTTAAAAACAGTTTTGTCTTATGTTTTGGGGAAGGTAATGAGAGACTTGGTGGAAAGTCCTGGTTGTAGTTTGCAGCTCTGGAGCCTCACAGCCTTAATGAGGCTCATTTCCTCCATTAACCCCACAGACCAGGACGGATGGACAGGAAGCATCACGGAGGAAAAACACCTGAGTCTCATCCCGCTGGGAGACGAGCCGCAGTTTAAAAGCTGCAGCGGCTCAAATGGAGCCGAGCGATCAGGCCGAGTTTCCATCTGATGAGGGAGACGGTTCTTCAACACTTCACCAGTTTAACCCTTTATTTACCAGCATTTAAAACTCACATGAGTTATACTTCTCCATGTCACAAACATGAAGTATTAATGAATGTTTATTACTGTTATGTAATGTCATTCAGTAAATAATGACACTTTTAATGCAACTTTGAATTAAAAATGCCATTATTTGCAGAATGACGACAACAAACATTCATAAAGTGTTACCGTTTATTGATGACATCATCTCCTTGGTACAACGGCATATTGAGGCTGTTACACATGAGGGGAAAAGCAGATTGTCAGATTCCTGACCAAAAAAAAGTCTGACATTTAGAGACTAATCTCAAATTTTCTAGAAAAATCATAAAAAGTAAAAATTTTTCGACTTTTCAAGTTTTTCCAGAAGATTTCTGATGCGTCGTATGAACCTGTGTGATCTGGAGAACTGGGTTTACTGGGAGGAAAATGTGAAGCTTTGCAGCCGGAGATCAGGACTCTGTCCTCTAGTCACTGTTTGGTTTGATTAGATTTAAATGCAGTTTTATCAAGAAGATCTCCTCCCTCTCTACAATCAGAGGAACTGAGAGTGAGCCTCTAATGGAGGTTATTGTTCTCATGCATGGTTTAATGGCAACTGTTCCCAATAATCAGGAAGCTGAAAGTCCTGCAGCGCGGCGCTGATGTGAGAGGAGGGAGTGGCCGGGCAGGAAGGCAGCGGGACGAGGCGGAGCTGGAGGAGGGAGGGAGCGCTGCAGAGCCGCTGGGGAATCAGGTTTCTCACACCCAGCAGCAGCAGGACTGGAGGAAAGGGAAGGGAGGAGTCAGACTGGGACTCACTTCCCCTCCAGTCCTCCCAGTTTTTAAAGCCTCGGTCTCTCCTGGAGTCGCTCTGATCCGAGGAGCACATCCCTCAGGTAAGCATCAAGCTGCCGTTTCCCTGAGTCACTCTGGCTTCTCTGAGCTGCACATGCATGAAAACTTTGTTTCTGCTTCTGCTTCTAATTTACTCTGAAAATCCTGCTGGAGTTTCACATTCCTGACATAGATGCATTAAGGAAATCCAGGATTACAGCTCTAGCTCTGACTGGGGTTCAGCATTCCTGAGCTGCATAAAACCCCAGAAAGCTTGAGAGAGCCATCAGATGCTGCTGGTCCTCATGGCGCTGAGTCACGTGTGTGTGTGTGTGTGTGTGTGTGTGTGTGTGTGTGTGTGTGTGTGTGTGATCAGTGAACTCCCTGATGAAGTGGCTGCTGGGAAGATGCTGCCACGCTGCAGGAGCTTCCAGCTCTGATGGTACAAGCAAACGTGGCGATGCTCTGTGGAAAGTATGCATCACTGTTACCAGCTCCTCTCTGGGTTGAGATGCAACTAAAACTCAAACAGTTTGCTGAAGGAAGCCGGAGCAGACAGACAATGAAAGGAAGAGATAGTTATTGCACGGCAACCTGAGAAAGCTTTTGCTTTCCGGGTCGGTTTATCAGCAGGCAGCAGCGTAGAGGTCAGGCTGGTGGTTCACCGGGTCGACGCGCTGACTGTTACCTGGTCAGATGGGTTAAAGTCAGAGCCGTCTGTGGTCACTGTGCAGGTCACCCTTTTACTTTCTTTGCATCTCATCAGTGACCAGTGAAGCCAAAAAACAGATTTTATGCAATGATTCCACCAAACGCCTGTTGGCAGCACCAACCATGTGCGGCAGTGATGCAGGCATCTGCCTCCAGCAGGTTTGCCACCTCTCAGTGTATTGCGGATGAGCCTGGAGATGTGCTGAGCTTTGGGGAGAATAAGATGTTTTTCCTCTGTGACGTTGCTCCCTTGCTTTACCTTCCTCCATCTCTCAGCAGCCCGTTATCCAAAATCAGATCCGGTTTGTAGCTGGAACTTTGTCTGCTTACTGTTCCTGTTGTACACAGCAAGGAGGAAATGTTGCTTTCGAACTTTTGCTGCTGATAATAGCGTAAGATGGTCAACTCAGCTCCCAACAGATCTTTGGGCTTTAGGGTTTTTGTCGTTCCAGTAGCCCATCATCCAGATCAGGGTCCTTCACACGATTTGCCTGTGGACTGAGCTGCAGCAAATGTGTTTTCAGCCTGAGAAACCAGGACATCTTAAGTTTCCTCCATTCTGTAACAATCAGTGGCCTTAATTGAATCAGCAGCAGTGGAGTTCACCAGAACCTCCTTTTGAGCTCTGGATCACTGGAGTCCATCTTTTCATCAACAGGATTTCCTGGCCAGAATCCCTCAGACTTCCAAAGAAAACTTACAATCCAGCTGTGGTTTGTAAGGAAACTGGTCCCTTTCGTTCCCCTCAGTGCAGAATCAGCTGGGTTGCTGTTGGAACCAACTTGCCTCCACTGGGAGGGCTTGAAATGTCTCTTATGGTGCAGATTCGATTTGCCACAAACGTATGGAAACGTTTATCCTGATAGTCGATTCAGAACTGATGGACCGTCTGTCCGGTTCCTCCAGCTGCAGCTCTGCCTGTAGCATCGCGTCCGCTCTGGCAGCTCAGGCTGCAGCTGGACGTTCCAGTCGTCGGATCGTCGCAGCTGCAGGCGTGACTGCGGCCTTGCCCAATAAGAAAGCAAAGTGAATATGATCTCTGCTTGCAGCGCCATAACCGTCTGTACTGACATCAGCAAAACTATATAAATGGCTTTATTCCAACTATCAGCATCTTCATCTTTACTGTTTTTGATTTAATCTACCTTTTCAATAAATTTATCAGTGACCATTATTTTGGCTTTAAACCATGTTTCATGTTTTTCTTTTTCCTTGACTTGCAATAAAATCATTCAGGATTCATGGATCTTATTTTAATGTACCTATCAAGAGACTGTTGTCAAGCCATTTTGGATTAAATCTTGGATCCTTTTCTTTAAACAGCGTTATTTAGTTTAGTCTTTCTACCAGTTTTTTGACGTCGTGGAGGCCAAACCCAAAGCTTCAACCCAAAGCTTCAACCCACTGCTGGTGGTTCACCAGGTCGACCCGCTGACTGTTACCTGGTCAGATAAATTAAAGTCAAAGCCGTGTCTGATCGTTGAGCAGGTCATCCGTTTATTTCCTTTGCATCTCATCAGTGACCAGTGAAGCCAAAAACATATGTTTTTTAATGATTCCACTAAACGCCTGTTGGCAGCACCTGGTTCCATTCAGCCATCAAAAACTGTGGAACCCCTGCCTTCACCAAGAAATATAAACCTCTCACTGACCATTCACCCATTCACAAATTAATTCATTCATCATCTGCTCCTACAATCAGCTGTCAGATTCCAGCTGCAAGTGCAAACGCTTTGATTTGAGCCGAGGCCAACAGGTAGAAAGTGATTCTTCACAGGAGAAGAAGAGGCTGTTAGTCGCTCAGGTTTAGTTGTTTTAACAGAAAAGTACAATCAGAATCTAGAAATCACTTAGACAGAACCTGAGGCAACACGTCGCCCCAGACTAAAAGAAATTCAACAACAGAAGAGCCTCACATCTGGAGAAACACTAACAGCAGCTACAGTGAAGCTCGGTGGTGGCAGTGTGGTGATCTGGGGCCTGGAAGTCTCTGTAACTATTGGAACCATAATTTTAACTGAAGGAGAGGATCTGACCAGCATTTTATCTCTGAAGGTTTTGGAGTGTCCTAGTCAAAGTTTGGACATAAATCTGGTCAAGACTGTGATGTGGATGCAGTTTACGCTGGGAAGCCCTGCAGTAGAACTGAATTGAACCAAATCTGCCCAGCAGAGTGGGTCAGACATCTTCTGCAGTGAAAACTCTCACTGCCAGTTTTCAACAAATTCTCAAGCAGTTACCTTTTCCTACTGGACCGGGTCTGTGCGGCTTTACTTCCTCTTAAGAAATTAAATAATTGAAAAAAGGGATTAAGTTTCTTTGAGAGGAAAAGTCAAAACAGAAGCAAAGACTTTTTCCTTTTCGATCAAAACGTCTGGATCTGCATCACAGCCTATAAATCAGAGGGAAGTCGTTCCGGTCCGGGCCGGTTCTGATTCCTCCTCGTCAGCACTGAGCTGGCCTCTCTGCTTCCAGATAAGATTCAGAAACACTCCCATGCTGTTAAATGCCGTTTGTCCAGCGAACAAATAAAAGCCCAGCGTCCCGCTGCTTTCTTCACACCGTCCCCACAAATTCCTGCAGCAGCAGGGAGGAGATGATTTATTTCAACAAACCCGTTCGCTGGGAAGAGAATCGGCACCAGCCTGCTGGACAAAAACAAAGTCTGAGCTGAGCTGTGAAGTCCAGAGAAAATCCTAAGAAAGTCTGAAAACCCTTCAGAGAATCTGACTGAATGCGATTCTTTTCTAACATGTTTAGTTTGGACTTTCAGACCAGAGAAATTCACCAACATCTGTTTCTTTTACAGGAAAATATTCCCACTCATGTTCCAGAGATAAAGATGGAGGCTGAAGGTTCATGTGAGTCTTTGACCTCCTCAAACTGAAGACTTTCCGGTTTAATGACACCGAGTCAAAATCCTGAACTTTGACCTAAAGGTTGTCATAACAACCAGAACCTCAGTGAATACCAGGTTTTTACCAATCAGCATCCTGACAGACATAAAGCAGTGATGCAGGAGGAATTTTAGGATGTTTTCTGTTTGTCATAAAAACAAAAGAGAAAATCTCTTGGAAATATTTTGGTTAAAGTTTAAATTGTGGGTTCAAATTTTTATTAGAATTTGAAATTTCCAATTTTGGACTGAATTTTTTTCCCTAAAAATAGAAAACTCAGATTAATCAATCAAATTTTATTTGTATAGCACATTTCAGCAGCAAAGCTTTACATAATTAAAAAACAAAATAAAAACAGCATGTGACATTGAAAGAGAAAGAGATGTTTCTTATCAAACATCTCCACCCTGATAAAAAATAAAAGCTGCTTGTTCTGATACCTTTTATCTCATTGCATCTTTCAAATGGACTAGTGTAAACCTTCAGTGATTTAAAGCACAAAATGCAGAGAAATGTTAGCATAGCAAACGGTTATGCTAACTGTTAGCAAAACAAGCTAACTGCTAGCTTGTTTTGCTAACAGTTAGCTATGGCACTATTATTGTGGGTTGGATCCAGGGGCGCATTCAGGTGGATACAAAACCATAGATCGGTTTTGAAAAATTGATGTTTCTAAGTGTTCCATGGTTTGTAGTTTTTGTCCTGATTATGTCAATAATTCCCCTCAGACGTCCAGGACGATCCGCACGTCAAGCTGATGATGGCGGGCTCGACTCTGAGGAAGGTCAAGTCCCGTTCCTGGAAGAAGCAGCGTCATTTCCGCCTGCTGGAGGACGGCCTGACGATCTGGTACAAATCCAGATGGGCGGGGAAGGGCCACTCCACCTGTGAGTGCAGAAACACCGTCAGATCACGGCTCAGCTCGCTCATATGACCCGTCAGGAGGGAGAGGAAAACTCACATTATAGCATTTGGCAGCATTTCTAACTAACTGGGCGCCTGAAGGGAATGTAGCAACAGAAACAAAATGTCTAACAGAACCAGGCCAGAAGCTTAGTGCAAGTTATGCATGAAGTTCCTTTGGTAACAAAAATTAATCTGATACTGGAACTGTGAATACTTTGATCCAGTGAAGTTATACCAGTGATTCTTGAGAATAGGGACAAAACAGGTCCTGTGGATAAAGCACACAATTTGAATAAAATATACACAAAATAT